CACTGCAGGACATGCAGACTAGGTGCAGGGAAGGAAAAATTCTCCGATTACAAAGGGACGTTAAAGAAACAAAGAAAAGTATTTTTTCGTTTGAAAAAATGAGTTTAAAGAAGTGTTTCATTCAGCTGTGTATTGGGGTGCAGATAAAACAGTACATGGAGGGTTATTTTTATATATTGTTTATATACTACTGTGCCTTATTGGAGGAAGCACATTTGTTTTTTAAATTGTATACACTTTTTTGACATTGTATTTCATATTAATTTTGATCACATGTTGATAGGTCCACTTATTGTTGAATTGCGAACCTATCAATATAAAGAGGGGGTAAGATGTAAATTTTCGACTTTTCTGGTGAATCCACCAGCTTTCTGTCCTTGTGTATAGAAACGAACTTAGTCATTGTAAAGGAAAACTACGAATGCTTTTTGATTTTAATACTTTTGGTGGATCCACCAAACTCCCCACTTTTAATAAATGCACAGGCAATGTTTACAATATATCATTTAAGTATTCTTGAGTATTCCTATTTGCATTTTGGTGGATCCACTAAGTATTTGTAAGTGAAATCGAGAATGCCTTGTTATTTGATTTTTTTTTACAGTTTGGTGAGTCCACCAAACTCCTCTCTGTATTTAAGGACAATTTAGTTGAACTTTGGGTTACATGTAGATTTTTGACTTTTCTGGTGGATCCACCAGCTTTTTGTCCTTGTGTACATAAATGTATTAAGGAAGTGTCACTAGGTAATTGTAAAGGAAAATTATGAATGCCTTTTGATTTTTAGCTTTTGGTGGATCCACCAAACAGCCCACTATAGATAATTACACGGATAATGTTGACAGTATATCATTCAAGTATTCTTGTGTATTCCTGTTTGTATTTTTGGTGGATCCACCAAGTATTTGTGAGTAAAATTGAGAATGTCTTGTTAGTTGATTTTTTGCATTTTGGTGAGTCCACCGACTCTGTATTAAGGACAATTTTAGTTATACTTTCTTTTTTAGTTTTTGGTGGTTCCTCCACTCAGTTTCTCTCAATGGGTTGTTTCAGTGTCTTAACACTGGTGGATTCACCAACGTCGTTTTTAAAGTATCATCATTATCAAAAGTAATTGAGAATTTCACCAGATTGCTTTTATAAATTTGAGCTGAATTGTCTATTTGTATTTTTGGTAGAATCACCAAGTTTTCTTGAAGATATTTCAGTTGTTTTGTTGGTAAGTTCTCCAATTCTTTTAATGAATTGTAGAATTATGTATGGTCAAATTCACTCTTGTTTTCTTGGTGGAACCACCAAGATCAATCTTTATTTGAAGATATTTGATAATTCAAATTGGTGGATTCACCAATCCTTTGACTGTGAATACGGAATACCGATACATTATTGATCTGTTTTAACATAAATATTGGTGACCACACCAATTCTTAACTTATTCAATAACGAAAATGAATAAAAAAAATTGTCGATTTCTGAAATTGCATTGTCTTCATTTTTCATTTTGAATTAAAAAAAGAGGACACGAATAGAAAATCCTCTTTCTTAATGGAAACAGTTGTACTTAGTTACTTTATTTAATACCCAGGAGCAGAGAAGAAGAGTTTCAAAGAAATAATGCACTTTCACTATATGATCTATATAGCCCCACCCTGGGGCCAGAACCCCTGACCCAGGGGCCATGAATTTCACAATTTTGGAAGAGGCACTCTTGCTCATCATAACTATATACTTAGTTACTTTATTTAATACCCAGGAGCAGAGAAGAAGATTTTCAAAGAATTAATGCATTTTCATTATATAATCAATAGAGCCCTGTCCTAACACCAGAACCCCTGACCCTGGGGCCATGAAATTCACAATTTTTGAATAGGCATCCTTACGCATCATAACCATGCACTTAGTTTGTTTAAATAATCTCCAATAGCACAGAAGATTTTCAAAGAATCAATGCATTTTCAATATATAATCAATAGAGCCCCGCCCTAACACCAGAACCCCTGACCCTGGGGCCATGAAATTCACAATTTTTTAAAAAGCATCCTTATGCATCATAACTATGCACTTAGTTTGTTTAAATAATACCCAGGAGCAGAGGAGAAGATTTTCAAAGAATTAATGCATTTTCACGATATAGTCGATAGAGCCCCGCCCTAACACCAGAACCCCTGACCCTGGGGTGATGAATTTCACAATTTTGGAAGAGATACTCTTGCTCATCATAACTATGTACTTAGTTTATCACCTTAATGCCCAGGAGCAGAGGAGAAGATTTCCAAAGAATTAATGCATTTTCACTATATAATCAATAGAGCCCCGTCCTAACACCAGAACCCCTGACGCTGGGGCCATGAATTTCACAATTTTGGTAGAAGCACTCTTGCTCTTTATAACTATGTACTTAGTTACTTTATTTAATACCCAGGAGCAGAGAAGAAGATTTTCAAAGAATTAATGCATTTTCACTATATGATCTATATAGCCCCACCCTGGGGCCAGAACTCCTGACCCTGGGGTGATGAATTTCACAATTTTGGAAGAGATACTCTTGCTCATCATAACTATGTACTTAGTTTATCACCTTAATGCCCAGGAGCAGAGGAGAAGATTTTCAAAGAATTAATGCATTTTCACTATATAATCAATAGGGCCCCGCCCTAACACCAGAACCCCTGACCCTGGGGCCATGAATTTCCCAATTTTGGAAGAGGCACTCTTGCTCTTCATAACTATGTACCTAGTTACTTTATTTAATACCCAGGAGCAGAGAAGAAGATTTTCAAAGAAATAATGCACTTTCACTATATGATCTATATACCCCCACCCTGAGACCAAAACCCCTGACCCAGGGGCCATGAATTTCACAATTTTGGTAGAGGGCTCAATGCTTATTACAATGATGCCAACAGTTCGACTGCTTGATGTCCTGGAGTAAAGAAGAAGATTTTTAAAGATTGCATTATTTTTGGTGGTTTTAGCCCCACCCCTCAGGCCCCAGGGGGGCAGGGACCATGAAATTCACAATTTTTGTTCCCCTTTACCCATAGATGCTATATGCCAAATTTGGTTGAAATTGGTTTAGCGGTTTCAGAGAAGAAGCTAAAAATGTTCAAATGTTAACACACGACGCACGCCGACGGACGAGAATGGATAGCAATAGGTCACCTGAGTGACTCAGGTGACATTATAATGATAATGTTGAAAGAAAATAGTTTTTAACGAACCAAAGTCATATTTTAAGTTGCATATCCATAAAACATCGTCATAAACTTATAAAATTACATACCACATCTCTTTAACTTCCCATCAAACTCATACAGAAAGAGTATATTTAAATTGCTACTTAGAACATTTATTTGTAATTTGATTGCAGTGAGTCTACATTTGGCATTTTCGTGGTTTGAAAGTTGATGTACTTATATGACATTGGTTTCAGTCATGAAAAGTATATTGTGAAAAAACACTTAAGCCATATCAAATCATAAAAATCATTTTTTGCCCTGCTTTCTTTATAAGAATTTCCCTCTATTCCTATTTAAAACTTTCGCGTCTGCGATAAGGCTGTCCGTAAAATATCAAACTGTTCCAACTGTAGTAACTTCTCTGAACTACCTAGATATGACGTCATAATAGCATATGACTTCAAGTCACTGCATGCTTGAGCTGAAATGACGGGGAAGGTGTCATAACTTTTACATTTCTTTCACATGACAAGTAAAGATTTTTTAGCGTTAGATAGATGTTTAAAAATGATACATTATTACTTATATTTACATTTATGACTTATTCTTATTTTATTATTTCCTGATTACAATCTTTAACGCGTGAAATGGTTTATTTTTTCAAACCCAACGGCACGTATTTAATCCATTGATTGCGCGTCGACCCTTTATGACGTCACTGAGAAATTACGTCGAACGTTTATGACGCGAGGAACCCTTGTTTATACGGATATAGATACACGTTGTTTTTAATAGTGTTATATAAAAAAAACATTTGCAAATGTATATATATATATATATATATATATATATATATATATATATATATATATATATATATATATATATATATATATATATATATATAACTAATCATGGCCTTACTGTATATTCAAAGAATTTTTCTTCTCTATATCCCTGTGTAAACTTTAATCGCCCATTGTGCCCCCATTATACCCCACAGTTCATGATTTAAACAAACTTGAATCTACTCTACCTCAGGGTGCTTCCACACCAACAATCATATATATATTATGACCTGAAACATTGGTTCAGGTAGCGTAAAAAAAGTCAGCCTGCCGTATTTTGAATGTGCAACTACTGTTCCAGGGCCATGCTGATCTTGATTTTTCCACATCCAGTCTGGACCTCTTTTCACCCTACTGCCTAATGGAGGCATATTCGGATCCAGATCTCGGGAATGCGTGTCCGTCTCATATTTGTCATTCTCTGCTCGGATCTCATCCATGGATATAAAAACTGATTTCATTGAACAAATGTCGAAAATATCGTCCTGCAATGATTCATTGTAAAGTTTACTTTCAGTTAATTTTTTGAGTAAAACATTGCCTTATAGGGTTTAATGATTCCCACAATATTAGCAAACAAATTATAGCAAAACATGAAGGCTAAATTAATATATATATATATATATATATATATATATATATATATATATATATATATATATATATAAAACTTGTTAAAACCTTATCCATTTCAGTGAACTCCCTGGTGGGCATAACTTGAGACACCAGATCTGCAATTGTCCTTCTGTCTAATCTATCGATAGTTGTTGAAAATGTAAGCAATGCTGCAACTTCCTGAAATGGATAAGAATGATATTGTATTTTAACATATTTTTCCAATTAAATACACGCAACTGTTTTGATTGTAGAGTATGTCATCGGTATGCTACTCTTAAAATATAATGTCATAAAATACTCATAAAATCTTTAACATTATAAATGCATTTCATGGAAAAATTTGATTTTGTTTTACCATATTTTCAGTAAATTTTGCAAATTGTTTGGCCTCATGTGGACGAACAATCTTTCCTCCTCTGGAAAGAGCAGATATAAATCCTAAATTCGCCTGTTGAAAAAGTCTATATATATATATATATATATATATATATATATATATATATATATATATATATATATATATATATATATATATATATATATATATATATATATATATATATATATACTTTAATTGTTTAAATATCATAACATTTCACTCCTTATAAATGTATCACAATATCTTCCTGTTACGTATTAAAACAGTCTAAATGGTTTAATGACGTTTATATTGAAAAATTCCATTCTTTCTTACTTGAATCATTTCAATCATACAATTGTGAAAAATACCGTATAAATAATTGTTTTTTAAATCAAGAACACTCTTAGGCAATCCTACCAGGTCTGGATTATTACCGACTGGAATACAAAAAATTGGATGAACCCGTCCAATATTTCTTGCCATCTGATGCCAATGGTCTCTCACCTGAATGTATAATGCCAAATTATCTCTAACTGAATCAAAATTACTTTGCACAATTATAACAATATTACTTACTGAAAAAAATTCCGCTTGAATGTGTGCACAAATAAAATTTGTTGGATGAAAAAGTAATAAATCTCTATCATGTTTAGTCAAACTTTAGTTTGATTAAATATAAAATATTTAAACCTCAGCGGGTCTTCGTATCGACAAGTTTTTTGTGTCTTTCATGGTGGTAAAATCCGTAGGTCTCCCTGTAGAAATAACAATGAGCCGTGGATGTGCATGAAAATCCCCCATCCTCCTTTAAAAACCTACAACATGTAATAAAATGTATTTTTAAAATGACCTTTATCTTCTTTTTGAAAATAAAAAGTTTGATTACATGTGTCTTTACTTTTATTAAAATGTGTTTTAATACTTCCCCTGAAAAATACTTCCCTTGTAATTTTTTAAGAGAGGCAAAGTCAATAAAATCTTAAGATTTTCGGGAGACAAAGGGAGTATTTGATATCATAAAGTAATAATTAGAATACATACCTGCACCATTGACAATTCCTCCCTCTGATAAAATAAAAGCTGCAGTAAGAGGACAGGGTACACCATACTCGATATCATCTGTAAAAAAAAATGTTGTCCTTAAAACCTTAATTTTCAAGTAGATGACGGGAATGCACTGCAAAGTTTAATAGGATGCAGTATATATTTGAAACTTCAAATAGTAAATCTGAAGAAATACTAAAGACCTAGTGGATATTGGCTGTATGATAAAAAAAATTAAAGACAATTTTAGTAAATCAATAAAAGAACATGAATGATCTTGTTCTTCTATTTCATGGATAAATCAACAAGTATTTTGGCAAAATAAAAACTTTAAAGACAACAAAAGAACATGAAAACTTCAGACAAAGTACTTCAAATACTGTATATCTATTTTTTTTTTTTATTAACAAAAACTTTATTTTCGCGTAATTGAACGAGGCATTCTGATTTCGAAAATTTCATTCTCGCGAGTATTTTTTTTTTTATTTTATATGGATTATATAGCGAGGACCAGAATTCGTGATTTTTTTTCCCCGATTATGAAAAGCTAATACCTATCTCGCAAAAATAACGTGTCACCAAAATTTGGTGATGTACACTATCGGAAAAAAAATCATAAAACCACACACTAGTTTGATAAAAAAAATTCTTTATGGTGTAACTTTTTCAAAAGATTTACCGATACAATGCTTTAATCGAGAGTATCGATTAGAGTAGTAATGCTTGAATGCTGTTATTTTCCCGCAAATCACCACCGCAACATTTTCATCAATGCCTGGATGTTTTGCATATTCTGAAACACATAATTCATACATACAAGAAATTATATACATAAGAGATAATGTATTACACTTTTTAATTGATAGAAAAGAGCTTATTTGGGCTGAGCGGAGTTTCAAGCTTAAAATTTCCTATTAATGTGTGAGCTGCACAAAGAAATTGTTTCCTCGTTGTTCACCTGTTTATGGATTTTACGTCTCCCAACTTATTCAATACTCATGAGCATGATTTGAGCACGATCAATTTTAAACCGAGGCGAGCTACTGAAAAATAAGTTAATCTTACAGATATTTCCCAACATCATTTAAAGTCAGCATTTTTATCGTCGCTATTATGACCTTGCTAACAAATATAACAAATCACTGGGTCGCATTTTGACCTACGTGTTTCATACCAATTGTAAGGTTTTTGTTTTTATACTTAATTTTACTACGGAATGTTCCGTCTAGCTGATCAATATATAGGGCTCACAGGGGGTGTCGCCGGTCAACAGGGGATGCTTTCTCCCCCAAAGCACCTGATCCCACCTCTGGAATTTCCGCGGGTCCGTTTTTATGCCATGTTCACAATTTTTATTGTTTATAGATTTTGTTTTTAATCACTGTCCGTTATCTTCACCTTTTGCATCATTTAATCCTCAAGTAAGAATATATCAACCATACATCAATCCCTATGAGGTGGCAGGGGGGATGTAGTTAAAGTTTAGACATGTTCTTGACCATTATGGTTTCAGAGCTCCTTCGTCACAAAACCCTGGGCAACACGGGACCAGTGATTAAGAAAATGAACTAAATCATTGTATCAAATGTACCATCCATGATAGTGAAGAAAGTTTCTTTCATTTGTATGAACCCCTCTTCTCCCACATTGGAGGACGTGTCTAGTATAAATATATTGCATGCCCCTCTCCCTTGTTGATACCTTCGTTCACGATCTACAACAAATTATTTCAGATTATGTCATTATCTACATCACAAAAAAGTAAATTAAAGAGGTTTTTATCTAATGTTGTTTTGAACATACTTTTTATCGCATCGATATATGATTGCTGTCGCCAAAATTGTTGTGCACTCTCCAAAGCGTAGTCCATGATTGTGAAGAAACATGTATTTGATACGCAGGATAAACAGTTATAAGTAATCTAGAGATTTATTGCTATCGTTTCCCATATACCTATCTGAACATACATTGATAAATGGATTTTCAGAATAAACACAAGTACAACAAGGACGGATAATATATCTTTCCGGCATAATTCTAATATGATTATTTTTAGCCTTATTTCCTGTTCCTTCATATTTTAGGGAGGGGGTTAACTGTTTAATTACTATTATTACCTAAATGTTGTTTTGTTTGTTTGCTTGCGTTTCTTCGAGAATTTTACACATAAGGAAGGCACCATTTGCCATTGGACGGCTCATACGACCTTTGAGCAGTTAGGGGTCATTTTTGTGCCAGCACCTACTGCGACACAGAATCTCGGTTTACGCGGTCTATTCCGAAGAAACAGTCTCCACATCATACAGTGGATTCGAACCCGCGACATGTTATTTTATTAGTGGTGGAATATGCATTTCAAAATAAAAACCACATTGCAAATTGAAATAATGCTCAGAGTTGATTTGTCTGTCCTATATAATATTTGTCACAGGTTGGGCATGTTGCATAGTAAATTAAAATTTGAAGATTTACAATTCATAGTGGTATTTGGTTTTAATCTTTCCCGTTTTTAAATGTAACCTGTTGGTCCTCCTGAATAAACTCACACGTGAAGCCAAATACCAGTATGAATTGTAAATCTACAAATTTGATTTATTGTGCATCATGCCCAACCTGTGGCAAATGTTATATAGGACAAACAAATCAACTCAACGCACGAGTGAGGGTTCACAAACACCATATCAGGGGCGAAACTGTCAGATTCACCCCCATGTTCAGAACATTTCCATGAGCGTGGTAAAGGAACATTTAAAATTTTCCCGTTTTTTATACATTTATAATTTTATTGTTTTTTAAAAATTTTTATTTTATAAACATAGAACTTTTCTTTTTATAAATTTTCAAATTAGTAAATATATCAATTTTATATTATTTCTAAATGTTAATATGCATTGTATTTTAACTGCATTGAAAAAGTGCAGTCGCTACCACAAACTTTGTTATGACTTCTTAATGCCTAATATTATCATGACGTCATTAGCATCACTGTTTGAAGAACCAAAATGGCTGAAAGCGCTAACAGTAGAAATTTTATTTCATTTGTCAAACTCCTGAAGATGAAAATCAAACCCGTAGAGCTTATTTCTGATTTGTGATTTGTTTGATACACGACTACGTGACTGTGTGGATTTATACTATCTATCTATTTTCCGTATATACTCGCCTATAAGTCGAATGTTTTGGGAGTTAAACTTTTGTCCAAAACTCTTTATCCGACTTATACTCGAGTTATACAAAGATTGGTTTTTAGTGGGTCAATCCTTCTAAATTAAAAAATACAACGGACTTAAAGGCGGACCGATCCTCTAATAAAACTAATGTCCAAATAACTGTATCTCACTTCCATTCTCAATGACCGTGTAGTGTAGGGCAGCGCCGCGAGAATCCCATCGGCTATCGAAAGCAAGTTTTTCGACTTGCCTAGATAGCCGAGCGGTCTAGCGCGCTGTTCCTGTACTGCTAGGAGACAGATTCCGAAGGTCGAGAGTTCAACCCCGGGCTGGGGCGGAAGTGGGTATCCTTATAAAAGTGAATTTCTTTGTGCTTTCTATATTAATATTTTCTTCACTTAGGGCAGTTATGTTAGTTTAAGAGTTGTTGTAAAAAGTGCTTTATAAATAAAAATTAATTTCATTACAACGTGTATTGGTAACGATCCTCTAATAAAACTAATGTCCAAATAACTGTGTCTCACTTCCATTCTCAATGACCGTGTAGTGTAGGGCAGCGCCGCGAGAATTCCATCGGCATCAAAAGCAAGTTTTTCGACTTGCCTAGATAGCCGAGCGGTCTAGCGCGCTGTTCCTGTACTGCTAGGAGACAGATTCCGTAGGTCGAGAGTTCAACCCCGGGCTGGGGCGGAAGTGGGTATCCTTATAAAAGTGAAATTCTTTGTGCTTTCTATATATATATATATATATATATATGTGTGTGTGTGTGTGTGTGAGGGTGTGTGTGTGTGTGTTAGGGTGTGTGTGTGTGTGTGTGTGTGTGTGTGTGAACTAGAATCATGTGATTCATGCAGAATAAAATATGATGATTATAAATCAATTCCAGGGTAACTCAGTAGATCTGCTTACAATGTTAGGCGTTACAGCGGAATGTTGACTTTTCGTCAATTAAAGATTCGTATATTCTTGATTGCTGTTTTTAAAGAGACTCAAGAATTATATGTATACCTATAGGCTGTATTCAAATGAATTTTTTGTGCCCCCCCCCCCGAAAAAAAATACTCTAGTAAATCAAAGATTCACAAATTATGAAAATTATCACAAAGTTTGCAAAACTATCACCGAAGTATAATAGTTATCACAATGGTTTCATCGCTGTCACTATAGTAAATCACTACCCATATAGTATCCAGTTTTGCAGATTTCTCTTATTTTCGCAAAGATATCTGTTGCTTTTTTTTATTTGTACTTTGTATGCAATGCTTTTTAAATTGATTTTTCATACTTTTAATGACTGCAAAGATATTCTATACGGAAGCATATTAGTGTCAGGTAATATTTTTTTAACGTTGGTATAATTTTTACTTTAAAGTTAGCTTTTCCAACCTTAAAGTTGGTAATTCCAACTTTAAAGTCTGAATAACCAACTTAAAAAAAATTACATGGCACTAAAACGCTTCCGTAATTCTAGAGTGAAAAATCTCTCATTCGAGGGTTATTTTGAGTAGAGTTTTAAAAAAAAAAATGGGCACAAGAAGCTGTTCCAAAATATATTAATAACAACGGCGCAATAAAGAATGTTGTAACTCAGCATCTTATTGTAGTTATAATTTCATGGTCCATGCATAATATACATGTATAATATAATTTTAAAAAAGCTCTAATTAATGAGCAATATTACATAAGTTGTCAGAAAGAAAAATTACTCGCTGAAATTTTAGTCCAAAATCAAAGATAGTAAGGTTGAATAAAACTTTTATTATACATGTAGTTGAAAATGATGCCGTAGTAATAAAGAAAGCAAATTATGGAAATAGTTGTGAAGATAAAATCATGATACTGTAGTATATATATTGATTTTTTCGTGGCAGTAAACAACAAAAATTAAACCCCAACTTCTTGTTACTGCAAAAGAGACCTAATGATTTAGGACAAAAAGGTGAAAAATCATGTTCCATCCTTTTCTTTCTTCAGTCATCCAATTTTTTCTTTGTCCTTAAGTGGGGAATGTACATGTAAATTTCTTGAGTTCGCTATCTTGCCTGAGGTGCAGATCTTTTATGAACTATTCTTACACTAATTATTTGAACTAGGGGGATACGTACATTGAAAAAAAAATCAGGAAATTCATAAGTTTTACAATCTATGAGTTAATTCAGCAATAATGTGTAGTCTGTATATTGGGCAGTTACTAAAATTTAGCCTACACTTTTCGTACCCAAACAGATACTCTGTCAGGTACTGTTTGAAAACGGTTATCAGGGAATACCAAATAACAGTATTTAGAGACATAACGAATGATGTGTAGAGGATTGGATTTTGGAAAGAAAACATCTCCGCATTAGACAGGAAAAACTCGTGTTAACTGATGTTAGTAGATCTAAATAAAAGGACCATCGAATCTTAAGATTGATGTTACAAAGATTTACCCCTTGGACGATATACCATCTAATCTGTTTTACCTCCTGACACATTTGAATGCCCACTTTGAACCCACTGCTGAAAAGAATTCGAAAGGATACATTATGGAGAACAGTGGCATAGTTGAATTTTAATGAACACACGCGCATGCATGTGTACTTCGTTCTAACGTTCTAATTTGTTAGAACAATAATCCCTGGCCTATAACTTCTTTATATTTTGACATTTTTTTAAAAATTAAATATAAAATCAAACATTATAAAATCCTACAATGTGATCGATATTGAAATTCTAAATTTGTGAAAACAAGTGCATGCATGTCTGCTGTGATTTAATTGTCTGAAATTTTACATTGCTCTAACTTCCTTATATTTCAACAAAGTAGGATGATTTTTCTAATTTATTTTTAAACCATTAAGAAATTAAAATGTCTATATTTACTACTGGAAGGCAACTGTATTACTAAAAAATTGATTTTGAAATTGACCAGCCATTCCGTTGCCATGGAAACCGTCTTCAAACACTTTGACCTGCAGGCCTGTAATCTGCCTTTTACTGTCATTTAATGAAAAAGTTAAAGATAATGAGCAGTAATCGTTCTAAAAGAAACCCTACAAACAAAACAAATCTGTGAACAGGGCATAAAACACTTTACTCCGGAAATTCCAGAGATTGAATTAGGTACCTAGAAGAAATTAGCATCCCATGTTGACCGATACCTTTGTATTGATTGGGCAGACGGAATATTTCTTTGTCAAATTTAGTATAAAGGTCTATCAATTGTTATAAAATATGTTAGTTCAAAATACAACCTATCGATAGGTTATATTTGCTAACAATGTCGTTATAACGATCATAGAGATCATAGAATTAACAAAATGCTGACCTAAAATTGTTGAAATCCCTGTATCATCAATTTATCTGTCAATAGCCTGTTTCTGTTTAAAAATTGATCGTACTCAGAGCCTGCCATTAAGGACATACGCAACATAGTTTGATCTTTATTGTCTTTTTCCTTGGAGTTGAAGAGTTCCAATACTTAAGGAACTGTGTGCAACATTTTAATGTCTATATATGCTGTTGTACACTTCTTCTGAAACAGGTTTTGATAAACATAACATTAAGAATATATGTTTAGTAATTTTTGTATATTTTTCTTTGAATTATACAAGAATTTCCATCAATTGATATCTTTTCTAAACCCCTGGTAATGCATGCTGATTTTTTGTCTATGAACATCTGATGGCACCATAATCTTAAATTAAGAATATCTTGAAAAATTATCATTAGGTAAAGTACGTTGCGTACGTCCTTAATTATCGAATAGGATTGGAGACGTAAACGCCATATGAATATTGCTAAAAAAATAAGGAAAGCTGACTTTAAAAAAAAGCTGAAGTCCTCTCGTATGTCATGCAGTTAAGTTGTATGTTTACTATTATCGTCTTTTTAGCCTGATTCAGTAAAACATCCAAATATGAAACAGATGGGACAGAGTCGTGGTGTCTTTTAATTCATGTTCACAGGGATATATCGAGTCATAATATGAATGGAAGAAACTATAATTATTATTTGATAAAACGTTGTCGACATATCTCAATTTCGAGATGAAGGCGGCCATAGCAAGTGTTTTCTTCTTCTCATGTTGAAGATTTTTAATAAATTCTGCTTCATAGGAATATAAAACTGGTAATAAAGGAGCAAAATTAGTTTGTTGGAAGACTTGGTCTTAGATGTTGTCAACAGGGGACTCCAGCAACCTTTTAATGTCAATTACTGAGTACTTGTAGAATCCGGTTAATTTCAAACAGGGTAACTAACAGATGACCGATCAAAAGATATGAACATTTCGAGTTCCATTTTTTGGTGAAGCAGTTGCCTATGATGTCAAAAAGCCTGATCTTTAATTTATCGTGAGGAATGGTTGTATAAAGAGCAGAAAAGTCATGTTTTGTTGCTATTGATGTTTGAAAGGCTTTAATTTTTTTAATTTTCAAAAGTCCGTTGTGAGTTGTTTTAGAATCCACATTTGATTTAAGCCATTTCTTGAATTTGTTGCACCAAAATTTTATGCAAAATTTACATAAATGACAAGAGTAATGCCCCTTTTCTGTAGTAGTTTTCGTAGGAAAATAATGCATTCATTCCACTCATCCGAATTTAAACGTTTGATAATGTCCGAATCCGTCTGATTCTCCGCGTAGTGTTCTTTTTTCTATGCATATTCCTGCATTAGGAATGCATTAGCCTTCATCCACAGGAGCCCTCCATCTTATACATGTAAATGCATAATTACAAAGAAACAACAGGTATTTCCACTCTGCCACTATTGTGACTTTATTAATTAATTCCAATTTAGATTACGTATAGTGATGTAGATCACAATAAATGATTATGTTACAATTACCTTATTAAATAATTGATATACAATTATGCATCTCTGATTATGTATATTATGTAACCCTTAATATTTAATTTTTTTTATCTTTGATGTGATTACATAATTTCAACAACACCTAATCCTTCTAGTCTAAAACCGCCATGTTCTTGATTAAGTCTAATTACTCAAGTTTAGACCTCAAGGAGAAAATAAATACAGCACTGGTAAAAAAAACTTAAAATTGTGAAATTGCAGATATACCAAACAAGACTTACTTTTGCAGGGAAAGGCATATGCCCTGCAAACCTCAGTCTTGTATCAAAACATTACTCATGATCGTTAAGAATACACATATGCCCCACCTAAAACGTACATGTGTCCTTGAAAGAAAAATGATTTTAAAGAAAGAAGTTAGCTTAAAATAAGTCCCCGTAACTACAGAATGCAATTGACGTCACAATCACTGTTACTATGATATTGTTGTGTATACATTTTTGTACAGCTTCTGAAGATTGAAAATGAAAGCGCTAAAGCTTTACGGTGTTTTCTTTTCCTATTATATATATATATATATATATATATATATATATATATATATATATATATATATATATATATATATATATATATATATATATATATATATATACATGTGTATATATATAGATATATATATATATATATATATATATATATATATATATATATATATATATATATATATATATATATATATATATATATATATATATATATATATATATATATATATATATATATATATATATATATATATATATATATATATATATATATATATATATATATATATATATATATACGAGGGTTGTCCAAAAAGTTCGTGAACAACGGCGTTTTTGTCAAAATGAATGGTTCAAGATGCACTTATTGTATACCAAAATATTAGTTATGAAAATAAAAGTCAGAGTAGTTTGGTCTTTATTGTTTGAACTTAATGTTTTTGTAAAAATCGCGGTCATTTAAGGTCGCAGATAGTGCGCACGGACCAAGGTTAAAATGCCATACACTTTTAAATGAAGTGTCTGATTAAAATGATTGTTTTTTTTTATAAAACAAGTCAAATCTTAATAAAAAATAAGTATATCGCACACAAAGCGGTTATCGTCATTTTTTGATATCTTTAGTATCGCTTACTAATTAGACAGTGAGAATATTAAGCGAAAACCTCAAGAAATGTGTTTCAAAAATTGACAGAAAAAGCGACGTCGGCAATCCGAACGGAACAGCGCTCAGTCATACAATTATGTTTAATATGGTTGAAACGACGTCAGACACAAAATATTTATACAACTTGAAATTAATGGAATATATTTAGTTCATTGATTTGTAATTGGTATATACGATTTTTCAACGGTGTGTTAAATTTCGGAGACACTACAAGAAGAGGAAAACCACTGTTATTTGATGAAAAAAAAAGATATCCCTATTAATGACGTTGTTATAAATCTAGCGCCGTCGGACTGGACTGTGCAGCCTGTGTATACGAAGTTTTTATATTGGTTACGCTCGTAAATTATTGAATTGTTTTGAACTTCAAAAATTAAATCAATTATGGTCTATACATAAATATGATTGCACACACTTGGCAGTGTGGCATAATAAAGAAAATTAGCGTGTGTCCATGAACATGTGATAAAAATTCAATCACATAAATCCATATTTTTGACGTTATCATGAAATTAACGTTACGTCAGACTTGGCCGTGCTGGTTGCATATACAAAGTATTTACACCTATAACGTTCATAAAATAGTATGCATTGTTTTAATTTTTTATATATTTACTAAATCATGGTCTATACATGTATTAAGATATTATCGTACACGTTTGCCATTACGGACTTTATTAAGAAAATTAAGCATTTGTCCACAAACTTCTGGACAACCCTCCTACATATATATAAGAGATAACAGACTTTATTTAAAAATATTATTTTTATAAATGTATACTTTATATCACATCATAATTCGTCATAGTTATCTTGTACACAATATTCATTCAGTCCCATTTCCATGACACTTCATTTATCTCCTTGGATCGAATGTTGATTTGCTTGTTTTTGGACATCACCACTCTGTATCTAATTGTGAGGAGAACACAAAAGAACAAATTTTATTTAAAAAAGACACAAAAGTTTTCAAAAAATTGTCATTCTGCATTTAAAATAACTAGGAATTACCAAGCATGACCTAAAACCTTACGTTTGACCTGCCATTTTTATGAGAACCGTGCAGTGTTGATTTCTATCATAATTCCTGTTAATTGTATCGTTGACCTGATCAGAATATGGATTCCACTTTCCAGAAGCATCTTTCCATATCCAAATCCGCTTTAAACCATCTACATGTAGATTCTTCCTACATCTCGATTCTGTCCTGCATGCGTATGGTTCTGAGGTGTGTTCAGCTGATTTTAGGAAATTTTCGATGGAAATATTTTATTTTACCCCATGTATCCAACACAATATCAGAGTTGAGTGTAATTATTCGTTTTCAAATATTGATATCACAATCTTTATACTTTTTTGAAGCACAGAACAATGGTAAGCTTTGTCTTTATAATTACACAATGTATTGTGATCAAAGAGACAACTTACTTCTGAAAGATTTTTTTCCATCTGTATAGGGATCACTGAATGATTAAAAAAAGAAAGAAGATACAATACATGTATCTATTCACATGAAAGGTTTGATACCTTGACCTAGCCTTATATTTCCAGAATAGAGACTTACCAAAGTTGTACATCGTACTTTCCTTCATAACCAAACCTGTAATTACTTCTTACTGAATTGGGCCATCTCACCTTAAAGAAGAAATATGCTGTTTGGATGATTAATAATAGATATGCTGTTTGAATGATTAATAATAGAATTTAACTGCATATTTGAATTGACATACTTCAAATGTTTAGACTAATGCTTAGAAAAATTTAATCAACGATCTAACTTTAGAATATTGAAAGCATAGTAAAAAAAATAGCTTGATTTATCCCTTCAAGAATTTTTAACTCATATTGAGACGTCACCAATTGCTTATGGATGGATGCGAATTTAGACATGACCATTAAGCAGTGAGGAATCTTTCTTGTCCCCATGAAGCAAGGATCATATATCTTTACTCTGAGACTTCGAGAGCGTAACGCTTAAAACCACTGTGCCACGAAGGCGACTGTAATAACTTTGCAAAACATGCAGGGCGAACGGCAAACTGAAAACTGCATATTCGACAAGAAAACCTTCCCAGAATTCCTTCACTTTTACAATCCTATGCGATAATGGCGAATAGCAGCTGTGCTATATATAGTTTCGTGAAGATTTTGTTTTTAACGGAAACAAATAATACTTGCATCTGCTGTTAAAAAGTCGATGCCTTTCGTTGAAAAAAGCTATTTTTTAAAACTTCGTTATGGAAAAACTAACGCATGACGAAAAGTGTAGACAGAATACATCCAGTCCCTACCTTCCTGTGTATCTAGTGCTGAAAAGGCTGATAGAAAGAACCAGCATAATTGTAGATCTTAAACATAATTGCTTTCGCCCAAACGAATAATAAATTATTGCAAGAGCATAAATCATTGTTAATATTTACATAAATAGTTGAGTTGTTTGTCACTCTATACACCATGCCAACGGTACCGGACCCTCCATCTTGATTGCCCCATTTCCAGTCAGGTCCTATATATGAGAATAAATGTAATGATCATCAGCATAAACTAAAGAATAAAATGCCTTTTATGTTTGTCAGTACGGGAATTTATGTTGCAGAAAAAAATGCATAACCGCGTAAGCTTTATGTACGTTTCATTGATGGAAGAGCCACTGCTCAGGAAATTTGATATGCTGAGTGGTGTTTACAGACTAATAATCGACTATGGTCTTCTTAAGGAATAAAGGAGATATATTAAGTGGGTGTAAATGTATGTATAAAGGAAAATCTTGAAAATTACTTTTATTTAAAAAAAAATGGTGTACCTCTCTGAACAAGACACCCCGGAGCAATTATTTCGTTGCCGCATAAAATTCTTGGTTCATCGCAAACCTCTACGTCAGAAAATCTGTCCCCATATCGATAATTAAATGTCAGACCGTGATCCCAGCAAACGTACAACCAACCAGCTAAATTAGTGAAGTGGTATGCTTTTATATGGTAAGATGTTCCTTAATTGTTAAAATATTCGTAGGAAGTAGAAAAGCAATATTTTTAAATCTTGACCTCTTCAATTAATAAATTTGTTTTCGTAGCGTTTGCCTTGGGGAAAACTGATTAGATCAACTTATACAATCATACAAAACATTAACAGGATCAAAATAATTAATGGATTAAAATATTTTGCTTTTTGAATTTCATAATAAAATTAAAGAGTTTTGAGAGAGAGAGAGAAGCCAATGCGCTTTTCCTTTGTTTTATACAGGTTACATGTAGATGCTATAGGCTAGTTCCTCTTCAGTTATCAAGGAGGTTAACTGATCAAATAAACGTAAAAGCCATGCACTGGATGTATCACTTTTTGTTTCAAGAGGGCTGGGTGGTTGTGGCCATTTTCAGACTATATTGATCTCCTTTAGAAGAAGAGCTCCATATAAAGATATACAAAAATGATCAAATTTTAAAACTGAAATGTATTAAATTTTTGTTTGCCAAATGATAGTTGACAGCTTAAGATATCATTTCTAAAAAAAAATAAGTTATATCTGATGAATAATTTGTTGACCCCCCCCCCCCCAGCCTCCTTAAAAACTATCATTGGAATACGTAAAACGTAGTCTCTCAAAGAAAACATGAAAAGATCATTCTCCTTATATCACGGATGTGTTTGTTGTTTATTTGCCAAAGAATGTCTTCTTTAATCTGTTTAAACTTAACAAAAATAAAATAAGTCACGATACCATGGACAGAGTTTGCCCTACAGTGTATAAATAAAGGCAAGATTTTCTAAGTTGTGCTTTTCAATACATGTTAAACTATTTTTATCATAATAACCATTCAACAATGAATGCCCAGTTACAGTGCCTGGTCCCATTGCGTCTTGGTTCTTCCAAATCCAAGTTAGACCTCTCTTAACTCGGGTTCCCAAGGGAGGCATACTGGCGTCTAGCTCTTGGTAATGTTCCTCGTCATCAATGTCGTCATCGGAGGCAATTTCTAATATGTCTGATATGAAAGTGTGTCTACGACGAAAAATTTCTAACATCTGATCCTATAATACAAACACGTTTATTGAACAAACGAAGAGAATATACGGAAGCGCATTAGTGCCACGTAATATTTTTTTCTAAAACTGGTAATTCCAACCTTAATTTTGGCTTCTCAAATTTTAAAGTTGGCTTTACCAACTTTAAAGTTGGTAATTCTAACTTTAAAATTGTTCACCTTTAATATAGGGGATGAATCAACACTATATTACATGCTACAAATACAACAGAACTAAATGTATCAATTCTGTAACTATGTAAAAACACAATGAAATAATTCCCTCTTTTCATCATAATTTCACAATAACTTTGGTAGTTCCAACCTAAAAGTAAAAATTACCAACTTAAAAAAAAATATTAGGCACTAATACGATTCCGTAAGAATATTATTTAACTGTAGATAAATTTGTTTTCGAGTTAACTTTTTTTTGCTAGATAGTTATTTAGTACTTATAAGCGAGACAATTATTCACAAATTTGGATTAGGTTGTATATATATTTCATTTAATACTACTTATATACGCGGGGATAATTTTTTTTTCTGAGCGATTTTGCTAATGATGCGAAAATAAAGTTCTCGCGAATAAAAAAAAAACATTACACGAAACTATCGTTCATTAAGGTATAAACTTAAAATCAATTTTTCATTATCTTGCATTTTACAATAAATTTAAAAAATCACCAATGATTTTCTATGAACATATTATATTGTTTAATAACTCTTCGTGACGATATTATGTAGCAGATATTATTAATGATGCTTTATTTATTCCATTTTTTCCTACTATGTCAGTGTCATCAAAGCGTTTAAAAGCCCTCCTTCTTGATATGAAATGCAGAATCATTTCCTTTGTCATATTCTCTACGTCAGGGTAAATGACCGTAAGAAATGCCACTTCATTCTAAATTGCAAATATTTGAAATAAATTACAGTACATATTTAGGAAATTTAAAAACATCTTTATATATGATATGTCTAAGTAACCAGACAATGTCTGTAACATTACCACATATGTGCTGTAACGTGCAAACCGTCGGGCTTCGTGAGGATAAACAACTTTTCCACCATTTGATCTTGCTGACAAAGCTTCTAAAAATGTCTACGAGAAAAACTTGTAAAGTAGATATCTTGCTCTTTTGATTCATATTTTCCTCCATAATAGCATCTAATATCAAATAAAATATAAAGAATATTTTACCATATCTGGCCTTACGCCAATTGGGATGCAAAAAATTGGATGGACATGGCCAAGTTTAATTCCCACCTGCAAAGCTTGACATTTTGCCTGAATTTTATAATAAGTGAAAAAATATCATACTTCAACATGTAAAGCAAACATCTTTTACTCTTAATAATCTTAATTTTTTTTTAAAAGTTGTCATAAAACCTTACTATTTCTGTTTCAAAAAGCTCTGAATCATCAATTTCTCCCTTCATCCTCATGTCTGTGGGTCTTCCATCAGACATAACTACAATCCGGGCTCTTAAATGAAACTCGTGAATGACCCGAGTGTGACCTAGTATAGAAAAAAAAGAACCAAATATTGACTAATATACTATATTACCGTCACCATACATGTAGATGTGTGTGCCCATCATAATAAACCGGTCAATCAATTAAGGCTGATCGTTTTTATTATATGGATTTAGCTTTTTATTGAAATAATGAATGTTTTCCTTAATTTCAGACAAGTGAATATAGAATATCTCCAGAACCTCATGTATATACACGTAACATAAACTTGTATGCATTGAATACTTACTAGCACCCCCTTCGATGGCTCCTATAGAAAGCAGAAGTCCTGCAGCTAAGGGCGATAATCCTTCACACTCAACTCCATCTTCAAAATAATTTAAATAACGATTTTCATGACATACTAGTAATAGATTTAAGGTATCCGGTCTGTAGAAATCTCTGTTTTATTTCATACGAATACAATTAATCATGCATGAATATACAAGTGCACAAGTGCAAATTTAATATTTGAAGGTCTAAATGGAGAGTTAAAAAAATCTAATATAAATTTTGAAATATGGTGCATTAAGTTTTGTTTTGAAAGCCATGGGTGTTACCGAGAATTTGATTTGCAAAACAAAATGATAGTTTTATACATGTATTTGTTTATAAAATGATTAATATTTGTTATCGTATTTAGACATTAACCAATATAAAATGTTACTGGAGCTTAATTTCTCACGCCTCACTTTTCATCACTGTGACATCACATATAGATACATGTAAGATTGACAAGTTCACTCATCTCAGTAATTTTATACTTCAGCAATTGCATGTTACATAAATGTATCAATCTTTTTATAGCTATGACTGACAGTGTGGGTGGCCCTCAGAAGATGAACAACTTGTTGTATGTTGAAACACTACATGTAAGTCTACCATCGATAAATGAAAGGCGTTTAAAGGTATGAACAGTCTTATTAAATTATTTGGTACTTATATGTATATCAAATCTTGTGGTTTTAAAATCATTTATTTGTCAATTCGCTCGAGAAACAGTGTAAGAGAAATATTTGACTTTATGCAGTAGACGATGTTATCATGTTGGACAGAATTATCTCTGCTGCAAACTTTAATTTAAACATTAAGATGTAAAATGTATGTATGAAGCAATCACACAATAGTTTTTTTTTTTTCATTTTGAACATGAAATGTTCTATGCTGAAAAATCTAAGAATAATGGGTAATTGCTGGTGCTGATTTGTAAAGGTTTTATGAAGATGAGTCTGGCAGAGAACATTGCTGTGTCAGGGTCTACACTTTCTCATCTAGAGCTGATCTAACAGGGATGGGGGAAAATGGATTAACTTGTGTGTTTCTCCAAAAACCAGTGATGGCAAACCTAGAGTGACTGGAACATCTAAAGTTAAACAAAATGTTGTCCCAAAGTTGTGTGAATTTTTTGCTGCCACATGAACATGATGAATTTATCAATTTAACCTAAATTAATTAGTCTGTATTAAGGACCATCTACTAGTATCATACATACCAAATGAGATTAATCTACATTTATATTATTACAAGTATTATTTATCATGTAATTAAAATCATGTAATTTATTTTCTAAGTTATTTTGTATCATAGATTGTTTATCACTCTGCTTTGATACAATTATTGTCCCTTTTACTGTCAATTAATGTCTATTATTAAACCTGAATATTTATTTATTCTCCTGTGTTCATTTTAAAATTCTAGACATTACAAATTCAAAGAAACAAAACTTCAAGCGATTTCCATTTATATAAATCAATTTTGTACATTGAGTAATGAGATTCGTACATTTTTTTACTCCAAAAAATAATTAGTCTTGAAATATTTTAAGACATCTCTAATGCATCTATAAATAATTTCGTTTCAAAATGTTAATGGTCCATGTTAAAAGCATGTCTCAAGTGACATTTTGAACATAAAGATTTACTTTTACAAAAAAGGACTATTTTGTCACATGTTAAATAATTTTTTTCAATAACACTCATGCTATGGTTCTTTATCTAATATTCTTTAGTCTAATATAAAGATTACAATCAAAAAGTAATTCGTGTGTCATTATGCTGGAATTAAATTATTAGTCTAAGATAACAAATTCTGTAATTTTCTTTACATTTTAGTTTCCGTCAAGAGTTATCTTCCTCAAATGAGTCGTTGCCCATGATGACCTAATTTTTTTTATTTGGTATGACCCATATGTTAATTATAGAACTTAAAATCGTAGGGTTTCCAGGCATTAATTTTTATTTGTGCAACGGATACCTTTAATGCAATCGGTAAAATGCTTCAAAAAACATGAAACACATTACACATGCGCATTTACGACTCTATAAAAATATTTGATTCTACAGATTCTGTAGTTACTACATAAATGTATATATCACTACACTGGACCACTTACCCAAGCAATGAATAAGTTCATGATACTGATTCGTATAATAGTTTTGAAACTTCGTAGTCTGACCACACACAATAACTGCTACATTTTCATCTATATCAGGATGACGTGAATACTCTGAAAATATGTTACAGTAAGTAAACAACAATCAAATATTGCTTTATTTGCTGAAATTACACAGGAATACAACATATGATAGCAAAATGTAACAACGACTTTGAAGGGTCTAATTTTTTTTTTTATCAATGACAAAATATAGATACCCTCGATGATTGTTTTAAAAACATCTTTAAGTTCGTGGAAACCTTGCCCTTGAATGCTTGCAGATGTATCCAGAATAAAAATAACACAGGGCCCAACACCATACTGGGGCCTTAGCTGTCTATCTGGAATATATGAGTATATATCAATGTGAAGATCCTCAATATACACTATATTTTTGAATGTTTTGTCTCACACTGTTCAGCATTTCATGTAAATACCAAGACTATGAAGAACAAGCATGCTCCTAAAAAGATCTTCCTTTTTGTATCTTTTGATTTTTTTTCCAACAAGATCAGCCGAATGGAAGTCATTTAGGAGTTCCATACATAACGATGCAGGACAAGAAATGATAAGTTCCAGACTGACATGGAAATAAACATGAAAGGACGTCATTTTATGAGCACATCATATATGTACATTCAGTTTGTCCTAGAAATTAATGCGTGAAAGTTTGTGAAAATTGTTATTTGTTTACATTTTGGTTCGGAAACGTCAATAGCGATATATTTTCATGCAATTTTCACTTACCTTAATCTATTCATTGACGATAAACTAGCTTTAAAAAGCCAGATTTCTTAAGTATCATTAATCAATGAATCATACCATGATATGTAGATCATGAATACAGTGTACAATACTTTTCCTTTTTAACTCTACTTTAAACGATTATTTATACAGACATTAATATAAAATGTCTTAACATTCGGCTGCGCATACAATGTGTTTTTTCTGCAATCTAGGCAACAGTGAATTCCTGCATTAACAAATAAAGCATTTTTTGTGTTACACAATAAAGGCATAATGCTATTCTTTAAAGGAAATTTTATAAAAATCATGCAAATGCAACCAAAAAGTAAAACAGAATGTTGAATGTACAGTTTGTTACACGTACATCGGGAAGCCTTATGTTTTTTTTTTTTAATTTATTCTCAAATCTTTAAGGTACACTGTAGCTGGCTGATTTTTTGACGTCAAAATAGAATTTGATATTAAAAGCTTACCGTGTTTACAATATCAAAATACAAACCAATAACAAAATTATTTAGCAGTATAAAATGGAATATTAATTAAAGGTTGTAGTAATCTGTACATATATTTATTCAAATGTTATTAAAAGCAAGCTATTGACTTTTGAATTAATTAAGAGCTTCCTTTGTGCTGGAAAATGTGAGGCTAAAATGAATACAGTTCTTCAAAGTAAAATGCAACTATGTTGTCATTTTTCGCAAATACAATAGCTTGTATTATTAGTCAATTTGGCGGAGTTTTGAAATTGGCGCTGCAGAAATTCAGGAAAGCTGAAATCTGTTAATACAGTGAAAGACAGAGTCATTTCTTTCAGTGAGTTGAAATTGTGTATATACGATATAATACAAATATTATATACACGATATAAATATCTTTTATTTATTCTCATAAATTTAACAAAAACTGGTTGTTTCAGATTTCTTGACATTTTTGTATATGGACAGTTTTAAAAGAGGACAATCTTCACACATATTGTTTTTGCTTTAACACTGTAAGACATAGTGTATCTCCCGCCAATCTGATTAAAATAAAAAAAAAAATCGCAATGAAATTCTGATTGTCGCTTTAAGGGTACGGAACAAAGAACTTATTTCGATACGATAGTGTTTTCGCTAATTTCAGCCTAGTTTCATTTAATTTATTTGCTAACTGTAAATTCCCTTATTTAGGGGGTCATTTTTTCGGTTTGAGGTAAAATTTATGGTTCGAGGGGATTTGATTTCGTTGTTAAAGGAGAAAAAAATCACATTGAACTATGAAAAGTTAGCATTTCATGGAGGATATGAATTAGTGGGTACTCTTCATACCACGAAACCAACGAAAATAACCCCCCAGGACATTAGCGATTACACAGTATATGTCAAAGAAAAATGTTCACACAAATGACTACAAGCTTGTGGGATCAGAACAATTATTGAGGGAGAGGGCGTAGTAAGTTTTCAGAACTTGTGCTCAATCCCTTTGTAATTATAAATTACAATAAAATATGTTCAAATCTAAATCAACACTTACTGATTTGTGACTCTTGTTTAGCTTGAGCAAGCCAGTGTTCCTCTTCAATCAATCGTCCATTACAAAAAGTCATGATCAATTTTCTCCTATTTCTAAATATCTAGTCTCCTTCAATCTGTGAGGATTGTGATGATTTAACATTGTATGTATATTTTTGTGTTGTTATTTAATTAAATACTTTGTGTTCCTGATGCGAAGGAAGTATTTATAAAAATCGGATGTCTGAAGGAAGTATCAACACAGCCACGTTAATTTCCTAATAGTCCTTACTTGTTTAAAATACTTAATTATCCTTTTCATAATTTTGAAAATTCATGAACTGACACTAAGCATTGCTTATATACATATATATAAACTTGTTTAGCCATATTATTATTATTATTATTATTTTTTTTTTTTTTTGAAATAATGGCCTGCGCCATACTCCTCTTATATGCACAATATTAAAAGGGAAGTAAAGATGTTTGATAAATAAATTCTATTTCAACCCGAAATCTCACCGTGAAAATTTCTTGCTCTTTTAATAAGAGTCGAATAATTAAAATGGATAGTTAGTAAATGCATTGTTATCGATGATAAAAATAATTTAATTTTCAAGAAATAATTATTTCTTACATTATAAAAGGTGAAATTTAAATCAATGAAGTTACAAATAAAAAAAAAAGTCTTATTTTCGAAATTATTTCAAATCCAACTAAAGACATTAAACTTTCATTTTGAATCACTCTAACCTTTATCAGCCTGTTCTGTCTTTTGACTATGCAACCAAAACTATATATAACAAAATATATAATCTTTTTTGCAAGTACCGATCTGTTCATTTTGTTCAAACATCAGTAGGAAATCTCCTTAATTGTATTTTGTTTAACTTATAAAGTATATCATCCTATGAAATAGGTCCACGGTACTACTTTTTTATATTTAAAAGAAAACAATGTACAATGATTTGAAGCCTTGAAGCAATAGGTAATAACTTGAAGAGGGTTGTCTTCGAGCTTTTGAGCAGATTTTTTTGTCTGAACCTTTATTCAGTTAAAACTATTGACTATATTCAGTTAAAACCCTATGATTAAATTCAATACAAAAAGCTTGAGGACCTATATTTTGTGGGGGAAGATTTTTAGAAGAAAATGACAAAATTTTCTCTTTCGAAGTATTTACAGTATTAAGTTTGGATTCTTATTTTTCCATGCAGCCTCCACAGAAAGTTATATTTTCTTAAGTGAACTATTTATGCTGGTCCCAAATTATATATTAAATTAACTGTCATGAATTCTATCATCATATAAGACAAATATAGTGAATATATTGTGAAAGTCCAGAAAAAAATAACCTCAATTTAAGCATAAAATCAAACTTTATTAGTAATATCTAAAAATTAACATCACAAACCTCTACTTTTAATTTTCTTTTCTGGATAAAAGAGAAATTTTAACCATTCTGGTTAAATTCAGTAACATGAAATTACTATCAAATGATTTTATTGCTTGTTAAATTTTAATGCCAGAAAAAATGACATTTTTTAGTGCAGAATGGTCAAATAATTGATCATGCAAAGTAATTTGAAACTTTTTGCTGTCATAAAATTATTAACGTGTCTATTCAAGATAAAATAAGACTATATTTGTTCCAATAACTTATTTGAATAAAAAAAAGATTCAAATGTAGGTGAAAAAATTGATTTATGTGTAAGACATAATTATAGTGCAAAAATGTCATATTAAATGCTTCGTTCCACCAAAAGAAGACCCATTTTTTTTGTTTTGATAAGCAATAGCAAGATTGACATATACATGATAATATTACGTAAAACATCCGTACTAAAGCAATGCATTGGTGACGTGAATGAAAGTTGAAGCAACGATACATTACTGTCACCGTTCGGTATTTAGTATCTACCTTGAGTGGACTGTAGATCACCTAAGCAATTTTTAAATAGGAGGAGGGGCTATCCATCATGCAGTGTCAATCTGGGCATTTTCTTCTCTCTCTCTCTCTCTCTAGAAAGTCGAATATATGTACAATGTATGATATCATTTTACAACAATTACAGCGAATTTAGAGACATATCAAGTAAATATTGTGAGGTCACACAAAAGAATATAAACAGATCTAAGTTGCTCAATTCTACAAATGGCAGACCAACCGAAAATTGTCTTAGACCTGGATTAAATTGATCTCACGATTTAGAACTATTTTATTCACAAGTATATACTTGGACTGACACCGCTTGATGAATGTAAATAATATACAAAATATAAAAAAAATAAATAAATAATAGTACCGATTTTGATGCATCAGATGCGCATTTTGACAAATTACATCTCTTCAGTGATGCTCGTGCCGAAACGTTGGAAATCCAAAAAATTTAAATAAAAAAGACTTAAAAGAGCTGAAAAAAGGTGCCAATGACTGGAGTCAAATATGTGGATTTATATATGAATCTTAATATTAACAGATCAATTGAGGTCAAATCAAGGTTAAAAAAGTCATAACAATGGAAACGATTTTTGTAAAATTCACTATGAGCGCGTGTTTGTCGGCTCATCTTGTAATATGACGTGAGTTTGTTTAATATACAACTACAGTTTTCTTAAAAATAGCCGACACACATGCACTGACTTTGTATTAAGACGTTGAAAAAAGCATTACCCTAATTATCTATTCATATTCCCAAAAAAATCATGTTCCATGCCTTAGACTTTTATTTGGTTTCCCATAAAAAGAATGTTTTACATACATATACCTATCGGGGATAAACAGTAAAGTTATTCGTGATTTATATTACCGAAAGAGATATTTTTATTAAACTTCAATTTACAGCCATTTCAGGACTCTTAGGTCCACTCATTCTTTGGACAATGGATGATAAAATAAGAACTTAAAATTTAGGAATGTGGGTTTGATACAATATGTAATGAATACAATAATGTAAGTTTTTCTTTCTCGCCACTTTGAAAGACTGCTATGAAGCACATGCATTTTCATTGAAATCCGTCAATAATTTTACTTCCATTGTTTCTCTAGTCACCACGTTTATCTGTATATTCTTTCCTAACACAACCCTACAACTGAACAAAAAACAGTTTGTAGTCAGAATTATTTCTGTAACTTGTTTTTACACAAGCTTCAATATTCAAGAGCTTTGTATAACATGAAATAGACATAATAAAGTCAATGATTCAATATTCTTACACGCAATCATTAATTTCTACAAGTACGGTAGAATTTGGATTCTTTTTCCATGATTTCCATATTTTGTCATTCATTTTTTCCGGATATGGATTCCATTTCCCATTATTATCTTTCCACATCCACTGATTCAATGCTTTCGGGTCATCTATCTTTACATCTGATGAAAATTCCCTCTCTGGTTTGTCGTTTTTGAAGTATTTACCTTTAGGTACTTTCAATAAACGTGTAGGACTTTCTGGTGGACAATCGATACCCAGTTGTTCAAAGCCCATTGATTCATACTTTGAGTCTATATTCGAATTGGGTTCTTCTGTAATTGTTTAGAATTCAATATTTATTTCTTATGATAAAAATAAGAAAACTTAGGTAAATATAATTGATTACACCTTTAAAAGTATATAAATACCTTTTCGAAAACAAAGTTCCCTCGAGTTTGGGAATGATCCTGTTCGTATCATTGAAAAAGCATCTCTGGAGGCTTTCAGTAAATATTCGCGCACCTCCTTTGAAAATGGATCACTATATTCAAAGTTGATAAGAAATGCAAGATTTGACATATTAATTATCTGTTTCAATACAAGTTTCCCCGTCACCAAGCACATTTCATGATAAATGCTTTACCTTATGTTTTATACACCGAAAAGATATAAAACCAGTTGCGAATAGCAAGAGATATTCATTATCATTGTCAAAAAATATGCTGAGATAAAAAAAAAAAAAATCACCTTATCTGAAGATCCAGTTTCCCATCGTATCCAAATCTATATTCCTTTTTATTGCCGTTCGACCATCTGACCTATCAAAAAAGGTATTAATGACTATTTACAAGCTCAACATTTGCCTTATATTATACACAAGAGGCCCATGGGCCTCCTGTTCTTCATCAGCAGATTTTCCCCTTTATATTCTTATATAAAACTTTGATCACAATTTGTGGCCTCACCCTAATCCTAGGGATCATGAATTAAAAAAGAAAATGAATCTACACAATCTGAGGATGCTTTCGTATAAATATGACTAGTTATGGCTTTGTTGTTCTTGAGAAGATTAAAAAAAACCCTGTTTATTTGTTTGTAAAACTGTGATCACTTATATGACCCAACCCTAACCTTGGGGTTATGATTCTAACAAATTTGAATCCACACTATCTGAAGATGCTTCCATATAAATGATTTATCATGGTTTTGCTGCTCTTGGGGACATAGATTTTAAAGATTTTTTCTATGATATCCTATGTAAATCTTTGATTATCCATGTTGGCACTATCCTATGGGGGTCATGATTTGAACAAACTTGAATCTACACCATCTGAAGATTCTTCCATATAAATATGTATAATCATAAGGTTTCTGTTCTTGAGAAGAAAATTTTTAAAAAGATTTTTCCTATGTATTCCAACGTAAAACATTAATAGCCAATTGTGACCCAACTTACCTCCGGGGTCCTGATTTGCACAGATTTGAATCTACACTACCTGGGAATGTTGTCATATAGATATATAACTAACCGTGCCTTTGTAATTCTTGAGAACTAGATTTTTAACCATGTATTCCTAGGTAAAATTTAGTTTGCTATTGTGGTCCCATTCTAGCCCCAGGGGTCATGATTTGGACAAATTTAAGTCGATTTTAAGAATTTATTCAACCATGTCCAACTTTTTTGTCATCATGGGCAGCTGCTTTTTTGATAAAAATGAAACTCGTAAATCTACATGGCTAACATTTGGTCATTTACAAAATTATTTTGCTAAAAAGCATTTTGATTGTACTCACAAGTACTCCAAAGTTGATATGAAAAAGATGCTTGATTTTCTATAATTTTCAATATATATGTAGTTTTTGGAGATCATTCTTCCAACAATGTTTTGGAGTTTTCATT